TTTTTTTTTTTTTTTTTTTTTTTATAATGCCAAAATAGAAACTTTATTCATTGAAAAAATAGAGTTAAGTCTATATATAATAGTTAAGATTTCTAAAATATTTATATTACAATTAAGTGACATTACACCTTCTATTTCTAAAAAAAATTAAAATAATTATTTCAAATTAAACTAAGGATGAGTTAAGAGAAAACTTTAAAGTATTAGTCTTAGCATTATTTAATGCAAGTAGTAAGAGAGAAACTATATAAAAACTAATTTTTTTTTTATATTAAAAGTATTAGATAATTTTTGTAGTTTAGTTGTTTGAAGTAAGTTTGGTGAGTTAGGAGTTAGAAAAGAGATTTTTTTCTTTTTTGATTTTTGAGTTATATTTTGAGCTATTTCTTATTAAGATTGATAAAAGTTCCTTTGAGACTATATATCTTGGTAGAACCAATCTAGTATAGAGTTTGATAATTTTATAAGAAATATTTCTGTTTGATTATGTAGAGAAAGGTTTAAATTATTAAAAGTAGTTAGTGAATAATAACTGATAGTAATATGAGAGAAAAGTAAAAAAAATATTATTTGAAAGGTATATTAGAGGTTTTAGAATAATATTTATCAATTTTAAACTAATAAATAATTTTTTTAGGAACAAAACAACTCTTCCTGATGATCTCTAAAACCAAAATAACAATGAAAAGTAAAAACTTTTATACATATAATAATACTCTATTTTCTAATATAATATATATAAGTGAGACTGAAAAAACTGAAAGTTCAATAAAATGTGTTCTATCATCAAAGAGTAGGCTATAAGCCATTTATAGATTATTAGCACTTTTATATATTATATATATTATATATCTTGTATATATTTTATATACTTTATCATTAGAAATAAGCTCTGTGAATATAAAAGTTAAAGAAAATACTTGAATAGAGTCAAGTATAATACTACTTCTTATACTTTTTAAGTTTATTTTGGATATCTTTATTTTCACTTTTAAACTTTTAATCAGTCTTAGGAACAGTTTCAACCATTTGGTGAACTTAGAATATTTTTTGTACAAAATGTAGAGAATGAAGCTCACCTCTTACTAAAGATTGGTATGCATATTATTAACGAATTTGGAAGTAGGCTTATGGTATGACAACAATAAATATATGTATATTTTGGAATTAGCACAACAAACATGTAATTTTATTTTGCAATATAAACTATGAGTTTACTACAATAATAATGAGCCATCACATGTTTGATAAAATAACTAAATTATTATCGAATATTAGAGATATTTGCAAATAAGTGTATTTTGCATTTATAATTTTTAACTACCAGTTTTAAACAGGATTATATGTTTAGATTATAATTCTTATAAGATACTTTTTATTTTCTTTTTCTTTCAATTTATTTTTTGTTTTGTATTTTTTCTTTTTAGCTTGTTAGGTTTTTATCTTGTTAGCAAGTTTTCCTAACTTTGCTTTGAATGTTATATATAGTATGTAGCCTTGCTTTTCACTATATATAACAATTTTATTTTACTTTTATCAATATCCGTCTTCTTAGACAGTTGGACAAAATTGTCTAGACTTCTCTTTTTCTTTATATTAAGGAGGTTTTTAGTATGACAGGTCACGTTTGGGTACATATGCAAATGGAGTGTCAAGTAGTACTTTTCATTAGGAAATTAGATATATAAGGAAGAACTATAAGTTCTTATATTAAATTAAATCTTAGGCAGACTAGCTATCTATAACTCTTTATCTAATAAATGCGTAAAGCGTGACTGTCAAAGGAAAAAAAAAAAAATACAGATAACTTCTATAGCTAATATCATATAATTTAGTAATCAGAATTGAGTGATTTGGTATAATTTAATTTACTGCATTTAGAAAAATTAAATAGTATTAAAATGTTCAATTCTGACTACTAAATCATAAGATATTACAAATTAAATCAAAAGCTAAAAAATTAATAAGCTATTATATATAGACTAATTATGATACATATATATTATCTCATAATCTAGTAATCAATTTTAGTACTATTTGATTTGTTGTAATTAGATGAGTTGAATAGTACTAGAATTATTCAATTCTGATTACTACATCACAAGTTACAAACAATTAAAGATTAAATTTTAAAGACTATAAAAAAAAACTTTAATATATTGTTTGCAAATTGTTTATTAAGTAAATTGACCTTTATTATTAAGACAATTTTATTCATCATAAAAAGTTATATTTACTTGTAAAATTTTATAAAAATTAGATAATTTTTTTTTAATTAGTTTTTATAAAATATGTTTTTATTCTAAAAGAATCTATTATGATATATATATATTTTTTACAAATAACAATTAATAAAAAATTATTCAAATTTTATAAAAATTTAAAGATAAATAGAATTTATTATAGTAAACAAAATTGTCTTAATAATCAAGGTCAAGTTTCTTAATAAAAAAAGCTACTATTAATATATTATATTTAGTTTTTATTAAAATTTAAAATTAAAAATTTTTTTATTTTATTTAAATGTTAATATCTCATGTTCTAACAATTAGAATTAGATAATTTTATCATCTTTTGATTTTCTTGATAATATAAATTAAATGGTAATAAAATCATTTGATTCTAATTACTGTATCATAAGATATCATGTATGTATTATAATTAGTACTATGTTATAATACTCTTTTTTATCTTATATATATATATATATTTTATTTTATTGTTATAACAAAATCTTGATGCTAGTTAATTTTTATTAGATTATTTATAGGTTTACATTAGTTAGTAAGAATACAATTAGTCATATATACAACTTTAATCATTATCTATTTAAAGACTCTGCTTGAAAGTTATCTACTAATTACTATACCTAGTATTTATTTGTAACTATTCTATTTTAAATTCTCAAACATCTCTATTATTTCTAATATTAATTCAATTTTTTCTTAAATCTGCACAATCTTATACTACCTTATTAAGAACCACTCAAACTAGCTTGTATCTCAGTTTTTTTTATTAGAAAAAGCTTTATCTTAAAATATCCTATTAGTCTTATTTGAAAAAAGCCTGCAGAATATCCTAACTAGTCATCATTATTGTTGTACTTTATAGGAGAAAGAAATATATGAAATGCAAATAACAATGCTCATCCCAATATCTAAATTAATAAGTTTTTATAAATAGGAGGTATGAATAGCAAAAACAGGATGTGCAAATAGTATTACCTTTTTTCAATTAAAATAAGCAAAATTTTAGCATCAGTCACGACATAAATTTTTAAAAAAACCACTAAAATATCGTTTATATTTAAAAGAAATTTATGAAATAATTGCCTCATACAAAATTATTTTCTGCTCTCAATAAATAAAATAAGATCATGCAAATTCAAATTGAAAAAATTAAAGCTAAGTCAGAAATTACTTCAAATTTATATCAGATATGTTATGTATGGTCTTAAATATAATGTGATTTATTAATTAAATAAAGAAAGACAAAATGCAATCATTATTGTTATACAGTATTTATCCACAGTCAGGTTAATCGACACTATAAATTGACTGCGCAATACTCTAAATATTATCTGTCGTAGTTTTATGGCGTGATTTTCTATCACGATGGTAAAATTCTTGCAAAACTTTTTGTGGTATACGATTCAACATTTCTTTTGGGAAGATACGAAGAATCGACCATGCTTGATCCAATGATTCATAAATTGTTCGACTTTCATATGCACCTGAAAATTATATTTGAAAATAGTGTTAACTGCAAGGATAGTAATATGATAAGATAGAAAATTATATTACCTTGAGAGATATATGTTTTTTCAAACTTTTCCAAAAATTCTAAAGAGAGTTTATCTTCTTGATTAAGAGCTTCCTCTCCTACTACTGCCTTCATGGCGGCTGCATCTCTACCGATGGCGTATTTAGCATACTATTAATTAAACCACGTTAGAATCTTGATTTAGTAAAACACATAAAAACATAACAAATTGCCGAAATATTAAAATTCTTACAAGCTGGTTGGAAACGTCACCATGATCCTTTCTTGTCATGCCTTCACCAATTGCGGATTTCATCAATCGAGAAAGAGATGGCAAAACATTAATCGGCGGGTAAATTTGACGATTATGTAATTGACGGTCAACAAATATTTGGCCTTCTGTAATATACCCCGTCAAATCGGGAATAGGATGGGTAATATCTTACAAGGTAAAAGTACGTCAAATATTGTTAAACTTCCAAAATATTTTTAAAATTAGCCACAAAAATAAAAAGAAAATAATTTATAATACCATCGTTCGGCATTGTCAAGATTGGAATCTGCGTGATACTACCGTTTCTTCCTTCAACACGACCTGCACGTTCATATATAGTAGACAAGTCAGTATACATATATCCAGGATATCCACGACGACCAGGTACCTCTTCACGTGCGGCAGAAACCTAAAATATTTTCTAATTTTAAAAAAAAATTATAAAAAAAGTAAAAACGTGAATGCTTTTCTTACCTCACGTAAAGCATCAGCATATGAACTCATATCAGTTAAAATAACCAAAACATGCTTCTCTAGTTGATATGCATAATATTCAGCAGTAGTAAGAGCCAACCGTGGGGTAACAATACGTTCAATACTAAAAAATAGCATGTACTAATCAAAAAAAATATATAACGAAATAAAATTAAATCAACTTTTTTTTTTTGAAATGTAAAACTTTACGTCGGATCATTAGCTAAATTCAAGAATAGTGTGACTCGCTCTATGGAACCATTCTCTTCAAAATCTTGTTTAAAGAAACGAGCCGTTTCCATATTCACACCCATAGCAGCAAATACAATAGAGAAATTGTCCTCATGGTCATCAAACACACCCTTATCGACTTTCTTGACAAGGCCAGCTTGACGACAGATTTGCGCGGCAACCTAATAAAAATAAACAAAGTTCTTTAGAGTCAAAAAAATTCAAAAATAAATTGTTTTCATGACATTACCTCGTTATGAGGTAGTCCAGCTGCAGAAAAGATTGGAATCTTTTGACCACGCGCTATAGAGTTCATTGTATCTATGGCTGATATACCAGTTTGGATCATTTCTTCCGGGTAGATACGTGAATATGGATTTATTGGAGACCCTAAAAACAAAGATACATAGATACATAGATACATTAAAATTAAAAATATTGCCAAAATTTATTGCAAATAAAGTATTGGCATGACTTGCCGAAAAGGTTAAAAAATTTAAGTTTTATATTTAAAAATTTTTTTTTTATTTACTTTTTTGAATAAATAAAAAAAAAAATATTTTTTTTGCTAAAATTTACATATAAATTAAAGTAAGTTATTTTATTTAGTTTATATTTAACTTAAGTTTAGAAAATATATCTTATAATTATTAAACTACACTAAGTTAATAATAAGTTAATTTCTTGATTTTTATAATATAAAATCAAAAGTAACCTAATAGTCTAGCTTTTTATTTTAAATTATAAAAAATTTTAGAATAATTTTAACGCTTATCAGTGGTGAAATTCACCAGTTATATGATTAACCAATAAAATTACAGGATCTATGTAACGATAATAAAGAAATTTTAAAGAAAAAAAAATTAAAAATCATTAATATCTTAAAATTTTATGAAAACTTGTATTATGTCACTAAGTAAAAGTTTTCAGCATATAATTTTACATATAATAAACACTCTAACCCTAATATAGATCTCGCTCTAACTTAAAGTTAAAGAAAAAATAACACGTTTATTAAACAGAAATATATACTAGTGAATTTCACTAGTAGTGAATTTTAAATTATTTCAAAATTTTATATAATTTTTTTTTTTTTAAAAAAAAAATATAAATATATAAAATTTTTAAAAAAAACTAATCTAAAGATTTTATAATAAATTATATAACAAGATAAAATGTTTCAATTTTTCAAATAGCTATAACTTTTATCTAAGTTTTTAGGCTAGTATATTGAATCACAATTTCTTTAATCTACTAACTATATAAACAGAGTTATTTCAATTTGGAATTAACTAACTCCTATTGTTCATGTGCAAACGGTAATGAAAAGGTTTCATGGGCGATCGCGCTCAGCATCTCAAGCTGGATCTACTATTTCGTCTTCCCCAACAAGCTTTGATCGGAATTTTGTAAGCAAGCCCAATGGAAAGGCATCCAGGCCATAAAATCCGGAATAAAAGGTAGTGAGTTAGTATGTAGTCAAATTATTTGGATGAATGCATATAGTATAAGCCCTTTGAATGGCGGTCCGACAACCTAACCACTATACTAGGTCGCCGGACCTTATGAACCCTTATAAAAAGTTATACGTAGCTATTTGAAAAATTGAAACACTTCGTGTAACCGTTAAGCGGCGGTTATGTAAACCAAAAAATTTTTTATTATAAATATTTTTTGGCTCTATTATTGTGCAAATTCTGCTTTATACAAATATGCTATGCGATAAATGCGCATTATGCTATCGCAAATTTTCGGTATCAGGTACTTTTCATTAGACATTGTCTTGGGTCTTGTGCATTTAACTAAAAAGACAAATTTTAATTAATTTGAAATTACATCTGAGATTGAGACCCTAAAAGGCGAGTGTTAGGTCATCTGCTAGATTATCATCTGATCTTATCGGTAATAAGAGTTAACTCCAAAAAAATACATTATCGTTATTTACGTTTCCACAATGGTCGAAGTAATGGAAGCTTTTAATATCAATGCTGCTGCTGCTACGAGAAACTATTCCGTCACACCGCGTATTGGTATTTTTTTTTTATTTCTATTTATCCCAAAAAGTTACTTTATCTTGGGGCGCTAATATAAAGCATTTGCTTTAAACTTCAAAAGAATTGATGCATTTTTAAAGAAAATACTTGCCCTCAGCATTTTGATGTCTTTCTCTATTTT